GTAGGATTTAAGTTCCTTACAGAAAACAAAAAAATAGGGCTTAGCACCCTGAAATTTACATTTGTGTAAAAAAAAAATTGCTAGAAAAATAAGTTTATCAAAAAATATTAGTCCTTAACAACTTTATTAAAGTTGTGATAACAAAACAGATAGCAAAACAGACTTAACAAATCTGAATTGGAGAATAAAATGGCCGCAAATAACCTTGGCTCAGCCTGGGCTAGTTTGAAAACTATAACAGGCCTTCAGAATATACAGAATAGCAGCCAGGTTACACTGGAAGGGTTTAATTCAGATGCTGATTTTGCCAATGCACTTAATTGTTTTTATAATCGTTTTGATATTTCTGATTTTAGTAATGTAACTCAGGAACTGAGTGATAAACTTAAGGATAATCAGCACTTTGATATAGATCTAAATGATGTTGAAAAGGCTTTCCTTTCAATACGGGTAAGCAAAAGCTGTGGGACTGATAATATCTGTGGACGTTTGCTTAAAGCCTGTGTAAAAGAGTTGAGTCCTGTTTTTACCTATATTTTACCTATAAGTCTTTTTAATAAGTCTACAGGTACAGCATGTACCTAAGGTGTGGAAAGATGCTGTGGTAGTCCCGGTTCCCAAGTCCAGTAGTCCCAATACCCTTAATGATTTTAGACCAGTTGCTCTTACATCAATTTTAATTAAAACCCTTGAAAAACTGGTAAGGGAAGAAATTCTAAAGAAAACTGAATATACACTTGACCCTATGCAATTTGCTTATAGGCCACATAGAGGAGTAGAGGACGCTACAGTTACGTTGTTGAACTTACTTGCTAAACACTTGGAGGGTAATGGGTCTCATGCTAGACTTTTATTTGTTGATTTTTCATCTGCTTTTAACACAATCCAACTCCATGTTCTAATTAATAGGCTTTTAGAACAGTTTACATTGAGTAACAATATTGTGGGCTGGATTCTTGATTTTTTAACTAATAGGACACAGAGAGTAAGGGTGAATGGAACCCTGTCTGACGAAGTTTGTTCCTCTACGGGCTCCCCACAAGGATGTGTGCTTTCACCTCTATTATTTATTCTCTACACAAATATGTGTCAGAGTAAGTGGGAAAACAGGACTATTTTAAAGTATGCAGATGACACTGTTATTGTTAGTGAGCTTCAGGGCAATGAGACCAGCCATGGCCCGATTATTGATGACTTTATAAAGTGGTGTGAGGAGTCCTACCTCCAATTAAACTTATCTAAGACAAAAGATATGATTATTGATTTTAGGAAACAAGCCCACCCACATGAAGTTACATCTATTAAAAGTCAGAAAATAGAATCTGTGCAATCTTACAAATACCTTGGGACTATCATTGACTCTAAGTTGAACTTTGAAGCAAATTGTGAAGCAGTGTGTAAAAAGGGGCACTGGTGTCTGTTTTGTTTAAGGAAACTGGCCCATTTTCACATTGACAGGACCATGATGATGTTATTTTATCGTGTTTTTATTGAATCACTCTTAACATTTTCTCTGGTGTCTTGGTTTGGAAACTTGTCTGTAAAGAACAAGAATTCACTGAGTCAAATTGTTCGATGGTCTAGTAAGCTGATTGGGGAGTCACAGCTTAGTCCAGCATCCCTGTATACCAGACAGTTACAGCGGATGACTAACTCAGTTTTAAATGATGACTCTCATCCTTTGAAGAATGAATTTAAACTTCTGCCATCTAGACGTAGATTTGTATTTCCGTATTGTAGAACTAAGCGGTATAAAAACAGCTTTGTGCCAGCAGCTATCACTCAGTTGAATAAGGATAGGTCTTAGGAACATTATTTATTTATTTATCTGTTTTTTTTTGGTAATTTGTTGTTTTTAGTTTAGGCGGTTTTTTAGTGATGCTGGGAACCTTAAAGCACTTTTATCATATATGTTGGTTAATGTTTGTGGTGTCTGTAAAATGTGAAAGCTGTGAGAACTCATAACACTGCAAACCTAGTCTACCTATGGGTACAAATAAAGTGAACCTGA